ATAAGTGTACAAAACAATTACAAATAAATAACACAACTTGAGCTTTTAAAAATGTCGAAAGTGCCTGAAACTAAGACAAAAACCAACAACATAATATCTGTGTCATGTAATTAATAGTTTTTGTCATGTATATATATAATTATATATATATATGTGTGTGTGTGTGTGTGATCAACTGGGCATAGTAACAAAACACTGTCATTAACATTTATAAAAAATAAAAACAGATAGTACACCTACAAATAACTATTATAAAGGTCAAACACATAATATAAATAGTTGTTTTAATACATAGTAGCTTTTTACTACTCCACAATATAATATGTATAGGAGCGTTTTTACGAGTTCCAAGTCATGATATAATTATCTTTAACTATCATTTCCATTACTAATATTTAGTATTTAGGTAAGTTTTTGCAATATTATAAATTGGTGTATTTTTTTAATTATTATATTATACCATAAGACCTATAACCTAGAGTTTTATTCTTATAGTTGGGAATTTATTTTATCTCATACATCTACTAATCCCTGACAATTTTTGATAGAGATACAAAAAGAAAATTGTTAATTTAATTTAGTGTATTAAAGTAATTTATATTTGATGACATTACAATATAATCGGTTAATATTTTATCAGCAGACCRTGTAATTAAAACATTGAACACCAGAACACTGACGTTAGAATATCTATAAAATATTACTAGTTGTGCAACTTGACTTAACTCTGGCAAAAAAAAATAGCAAATATGAGGTAGAGTACTATTTTGGTTAAGTGGTTATTGAGTCTATAAGATACAATTATACGGATATTATTATTATATAATATAATAATAATAATAATAATAATAATAATATGATAGTGTTTTATTTAACATTCGAATAGCAAAMCATTTAAAAAATATTAATTTATTTTACTTTAAACAATCACATAACAACACGTGGTTKATATATCTACTTAAAAAAAAAATATTTGTTATTTGTGAGCCAATTCTCATATGGATTGAAAAACTAAGTAAATAACACTTTTGGCCAATTCTCAAGCAATATTTGCAAAATTTGATACCAATTGGTTCAGTAGTTCCTGTGCAAACGTACATTAATTTGTATCCTTATGAATAATATATAACTATATTTTTCAAATCATTATAATACTACTTTGAATAATTCAAAAATATTCATTTTAAATGCTGTATTATCGGTTTTTATGAATCATATTTTTATTATTATTATTTTAAATATAATATATTCTTAGCCTAAAATTATCTATATATAAGGATATTTGACAATAAATCATATTAAGATGTATTATTACAGTATAATACAATCACACAATATGCAATACACACATTTCATAACTAAGTATAGATACTAAGCAATTATTCTTACTTATTATTTATTAAAAAGCAAAGATAGATATTAACTATTGTTAAAAGTTAATTTTTTATCAGTTTTTAAATAAATAAAAATTGATTGTAACAAATTTTTCAGTTCATTTAAAGAAATAATATGCCTGCTTAACCTTATTGTTTTCGTTCAATGTCAACTTACCTTACTCGTATACATTTTTTTCATCATTTTAACTACCTTTGTAAAAAACAATTATCAATTAATTCATTTGAGTACGTCTATTAATACTACTCAACATCATGYTAGTTTTATTTATTCCGTTAATATAGCAAAAATTATAAATTTATTATGACTTTTTAAATCATTTAATAGTATTACTATTGATGCAAATATTATATTTTCAGAATTTTATGAAAGTGAATAATAAATTCTTTGTCAACAACGTTAAATATATATAT